GGGGCGATGCAATACAGGGTCATGGGCCGTCGGACTTTCCGACTCCTTCCACAAAGTTGGGCACGGTGGTGAAGGGTGCGGGAGGCTGGCATGTGATCGATGGGGGTGGGGCGCTTGGCACAATCTCCCCCCACCTGTCATCCAGGTCATAGAACTTGAAGATGCGGATCATGAAGCTGTGGTGTTGGGGCGGAGGCAGGGGAATAAGGAGGAGTCCGAGGGCGCAAAATGCGCATTGATGTGCGTTGGCTTGAGGCATGGACTTTGCAAGCAGGCCAGCGTGGAAAGCAGTCGGATGGAGGCAGCTGGCGTCATAAACGGGCTATGATAGGGGGCCGGTGGTTCCAGGCCGGCGGCAGAGGGATGTTCGCAGCTCAGTCAACACGTGCAGGTTTGACGGCGCCCCCCGCCCGCGCCATCACCAGGGCAGCCCAGCACGGCCCCGCGGACGCGCCCTCCTGCAGAGCGCCCTGCGGCGTTTTGTACCTTGACAAGCGCCAGCTCGCAGCCCCACCTGAAGCTGAACCAGGCGGTGTGGCCCATGTATATGTCGCTCAGATCACCCGCCAAACGGATCAGCACGCTGCAGTGCCCGCGGTCCGCGAGCGCGGCACGCAGCGCCGCCGGCGCCATGCGGGCCGCGGCGGCGGGGTCGGCGACGGCATCGGTGGGGTGCGGGCCGGGGCGGCCGGTTTTCGTGAGGCTGATGGCCGGGATAATATCCAAAAGGTCACCTTTTGGGCCCGGGGGGGGGGGGTGTAAATCAAAGGGGGGAGCGCAGCGGGTCAGGCCTGGACAGGTGAGCGCGGGGTCATGATAGGTTTGATTGCTGTTCGAGTACCATCGGCGCAGCTGCTGGGCAGGTTGAAAGGGGCGAGTGAAGCGGTGAGGGGGAAAAGGGGGCTGCGCACGCGACCCTGTGTGCAGTGGGCAAGAGCATGGTGCTCCCAGCGGCGCCCTGCGCTGCGGCCGCGCTCAAATCGACGGACATGGAGTGGGCGTCTCACCGATGGCGTTGAGCAGCAGCACATCTGAGCGGGTCATCGGGGGCAGCCCCGCCGCGCCGCCGCCCGCCTGTGCAGCAGCCACGTTGTAGCCGGCCTGCAGCCCAGTCACCTGGGGGTACGGCGGGTGGGCGTCATCCCTGAATGCGCCAGTCCGCCCGCACCATGCAAGTTTATTCTTGTGTGTGTTTGTTAAGGACCACGCCCTGCTGTGGTCTCGCGTCAGTTCAGCGGCCTGCTGGCGCCGCCGTCAGCGCATTGGCGCCGCAATCGCCGCGCATCTACATCATTCAACGATGACGTCCATGAGGCGGCCCCCAGAGATTGCGCAGGGCCACTCTCTGAGGGACTGCTGCCTCCCACTCCCAGCAAACCTGCGCGCACAGGTCTGCCACGCCCCTCCAGAACCGGCCGCGCCCCGAGGCGCCGCCGCTGCTCAGCAGTTCTGACTGCCGGCAGGCCCATGTGTCCTGTGAGTGTGCCCGGGTGTGCGTGTGTGGCAAGGCAGTGCCGGCCATGGGAGGGTCAGATAGCCAGCAGACAACAACACCAGCTGGGTGTGTTGCGGTGGAGTGTTGTTGGTCTCTCTTCAGTAGACACACCTGAGATGCATCTGTCCGGAGATTCCGAGGGCAGCAAAGAGGCAGGCCGTAAAGCCGTTGCGTGAGCTGGCGTCCCGCGAAGCCCCCAGGCGCCCGCACCTGCTTGAGCAGCCAGGCCACAATGTCGGTGCTGTGGTTGGTGCGGCCGGCCACCCAGACCTTCAGATTCTCCAGCTGGTCTGCCATGCGGTGCGCCGTGAGGAACCCCTGGGGTTTTTGGGGGGGGGCAGTTGCGGGATGTTTGATTACTTTCGGGGTCGGTTTTCAGGTGGGGGCGCATGGTGTCGTGGCATAGCAGTAATGCGGGGTGCTCCAGAAATGGGATGCAAGCACACGCCAGGCGTCCGAGATGCTGAGGCGGTGGTTTCGTTTTCAGCTCACCTCCGCATAGCCGGCGGCAAGGAGCTGAGTTGTGGAGGGCAGGTTTGGGTTGCTCCACACACGCAGCTGCCCGAATCCGCTGGGCTGGCCCGCTGAATCAGTAAAGTTCGCCACAACCACTGGGGCATCCTTCGCTGCCAAACCGCCGTCGCTTGCTTTTGCCCACACAACGACATGGCGCACGGCGTCTGCGCCGGCGCGAGCTGTCGCGCGCAGGCGGAGATCGGAAAGCCCGAGGAACGCAGGCTGGGGACGCTCGCTTATTGTGGCTGCGCCGCGCTGCCCCCAGGAGCGTTGCGGGAGCGCGGTGGCGCCATGGAATGGTGCCGTGGCCAGAAGCAACGCAAGCAGTGCTGAGGCGGACATATGGGAGTCTACAGGCTCTAGAGGCGCGGTCGGACTAGCGCGGGGTGGGGTTCGACACGATCAGGTAACTCCGCTGATCTTCGCTGCAGATGCGATCGAGAGGCTGATGAGGCAGGTGTTTGACATGCCGCTGATGGGATACGACCGTTACTGCAGGCGTGTCAGCAGTTGTGCGGATATGGGGTGTGCGCCCAATGGGGAACGGAAGGGGTGGGAGTTGTCATGCAGCAAGGCCCGCAAACCGTGGCGCACCTATCGCAGCCAGCCAGGTGGGCATATGACACCAAAAAGCGCAACCAAACAATTTGAGCAAAAATATACTCGCTCGTGTGGCCTTGAATGTCACAGCTGTTGCAAGCACATGCATATAGACGGCAAGAAAGAGGGGTGGTCAACACTCATCCAGCCGGCCGACACATGATTCAGGGAACACAGGCATCATGCTCCCTGCTGGGGGTGTAGAGTCGGCGATACTGACAGCACACACTCAGGAATTGCATGCTCTGATACTCTCAGATTGTTCAGCCCTACCCCTCGTCCCTCCAGCTCATCCAACCAACGCCCCAGCGGGCGCCTCGCGCGCTCCTCCTGCCCCGCCGCCCACCCGGCGCGCGTGTGCCTCCTCCATGGTCAGCAGCCTCCGCGCGTGCGCCTCCTCCAGCTGCTGCAGCCGCCGCGCGTGCTCCTCCTCCCGCCGCAGCAGCAGCTGCTCGTGCGCGCCCTCCGCGACCTGCAGGCGCCGCATCTGGCCCGCCGCGCCCACCACCAGCGACTGCAGGTTGAAGCGCGTGCTGCTCGCCTCCCTGACGTCTGCGGCCAGCATCTGCAGCAGCCGGCAGAACGCGTCCTGGACCTCAAACAGCTGCGTCGCCGGCGGCATCTCCGCGCCGCGCCGCGCGAACGTCATCGCCGTCCCGGCCTGCCCCTGCTTGACGGCAAACGCGACGGCGCTGCCGCCGTCGTGGGCGACCATCTGGCTGCCGCCGCGCTCGAGCAGCAGGTCGAGCGCGCCGGGGTGGCCCTGCGCGGCCGCGTGCAGCAGGCTCACGATGCGCGCCTCCGGCGACACGTCCTTGAGCGCCCCGCGGTCCAGCAGCAGCCGGATCATGGGGAGGTCGCCGCGATACGCCGCGATGTTGAGCGGCATCATGCGGCCGGCGCCGGCGGCGGCGTCGGCGCGAGCGCCGCGGTCAAGCAGAGCGCGCGCGGCGGCGAGCTCGCCGGAGTGCACGGCGGAGTGCAGCGCGTGGCGCCCGACGTCGTCGGCCGCGTCGACGGCCGCGCCGCGGTTGAGGAGCAGGTTGATGGCGTCCACGTGGCCAAAGGCGGCAGCGTAATGAAGCGCCGAGCGGCCGAGGGGGTCGCCCGCGTCCACGTCAGCGCCTGCGCCCAGGAGCGCCAGCAGGCGGCCCAGGTCGCCCCGCGCCGCCGCGGCGTGGAGGGGCGGCGAATTGGATTCCTGAGGGAGGGGTCATAGACACCAAAGGGGTCACAGGCAGCGCTGGCTGCGTTGCGGGCGCACACAGGGACGGTGCGAACTCACTAGGCCGCCTGACGGGCACCTGGGCAGCGCGCACGCATCCCCCCAAGCGCGTGGCCACCACACACCTTTGTTTGCGCCATACTAGGGAATAGTACCGGTGCGCACGAAACGCGCTAACGCATTTTTGAGTGCTCTGTACCGGTAGTGTCAGCGACCCGATCCGACCCGCGTGATCTGAGGATTCGGTGTGTTCTCAATACTACCAGAAGAATTACTTAAGGCTCTACCTTGAGGGCTCCACAAAATGCGTTCACGCAAGCAGCGGCCAACCACGCAGCTGCTCGACCTGACGCCGGCGCTGCTGGAGGCGATTGCCGCGCGCCTGGGGCCGGGCGGGTGGCTGGCGCGCTTCGCGCAGACGTGCCGCGCCGCACGCAGTGCCGCCGACCGGCGACAAACTTCGGCGCCGCTCGTGGCGTCATTGGCCCCCCGGTTCGCCCAGGGGTTCCCCTGCTGCTCCACTCTGGTGCTGCACCTGGACTCGCCCCAAGCAACACTCTTGCAGCTCGCGTCCTGCCTGGCTCAGGTGAAGCGAAGGCCCCTAGATCAGTGATTGCAGCTCATCCTGCCTGATTCCCCGCTCCATATGTGCCCTGCCGCCCGCCTTGCCAGCTCCTGCACCCTCGCGTGCACCCTCTCCTCAACCTAACCACCAACTCGCCCGCCTGCTCACCCGCACCCTCCTCGCCACCACCCCCGCCGCCCGCCCGCCCGGCAGCTGCCGGACGCCTCCTGGCCCCAGCTGCGCCGCTTGGAGGTCGAGCTGGACTACTACCACCTCCGCTACCTCGGAAACATCATCGACCCCTCGCTGGGCGATCCCCGCGCCGCGCTGCCCGCGCTGCTGACTCAGCTCGCGCGCCTCGCGCCCCGCCTCGCCGCCGTCGCCACCGGGCCGCGCTTCCTCGCCAACTGCGAGGGCGAAACCAGCACGCACGGCCTCTGCGGCGATGTGGGCGCCACGCTGCGCGCGCTGCGGCCGCTGGCGCGCACACTGGAGGAAATCCACATCAGCGGCCCCTGCAGCGGCGGCGGCGGCAGACCAATGGGCGGCGAGGAGGAGGGCCGCGCAAGCGGCGTCCGCGTCAGCGACGACGACGGCGCACCTGGAGAGTCACAGCAGCTTCTGTACCGCGCGTTGGACGCCGCCGGCCGCGCCGCATCGCGCGAGCTGCGCGGCTTCGCCTCTCTCCGGCGCGCGGCGTGCTCCAGCGACGCGGCGCCGGTCTTTGCGGCCACGCTGCCGTGGCTGGTCGCTCTGACGTCCCTTGATATGGACGACCGGGGTGGGGCGATGGGCGCCGTGCTGCTTAGCGCGCGGCTGCGCCAGCTGGCGCTGAGGTCCGGCCGGCACCCCAAAGTGGCGCTAGAGGCGGTTGAGGGCTGCCGGGGGCAGCTGGCGCGGCTGACCAGCTTCACTCTCGGCAGGTGGGCGGGCGGCAGGGCGGCAGGGGCCTGGCAGCAGGGCAGAGGGAGGACAAGGCTCCAAGCGGTCGTATGCTTTGTGGCGAGCACTCGACCATGCTGGAACACTGACATAGTGACAGGATACATGCTTGCTCAGCATCGCATCCGTGCGATACATGCAGCCAGCACAAGCAGCCTGCATGCATGCATCGCATGACGAGTATGTATGCACCTGATTGATTCCTACAACACAATCACACCTTAAACGTGTAGCATGCATCTGCGCACCGTGCGCCCACCCACTCTCACAAGCCTTCTGCTTGACGGCGCCCCCATTCTCCCGCAGCTCCGGCAACGGCGACGACCTCAAACTGTACAGCAGGCACAAGGGGGTGCTGTGCCAGGTTCCCAGGCTCAAGAAGCTGAGATTGAACGTGGGTGAAGGCAAGGGCGGTTTCCCCATGTTGGGCCCTGATCAGCGGTCCAGTGTCGGCGCACCAGGGGTGAACTGAAGACGATTGATCAGGGCTGATGGCGGGTTGGCCGGACTTGAAATCACACACACTTGTCAGGCTGCACTCACACACCCAAACTGGGTGCGCTTGAGAGGGAGGCTGAAATGCTGCGGCGGCCGCACATGTCTTGTCCCCTTTGAACCAACAACAGGGCGTCGTGCATCTGTCACGGAAGGAGGGCACCTCAAGCGGCGAAGAGGACGAGGCAGACGAGCGCTGCGCCAGCGGCAGCAACAGCGGCAGCAGCAGCGGCAGCGACAGTGAGAGCAGCGCCAGCTCGGACGGCAGCGGCGGCAGTGAGTCGGGTGACGACGGCCCAGAGCCGGGGCTGGGCGCAGCCGCCATCGGCGATGGCAGGCTGCTGCGGCTCCGCGAGCTCGAGGTGCACGGCCGCCTCTTGGGGGAGCGGCGCTCGCTCTTTGCCCTGGCGCCGCGCCTCGAGCGCCTGACGCTGGTGGATTCGACGGGACTGCGCGCGGCGTACGGCCACCCCAAGCTGCGTTCCCTGGTGGTGGACTTTGGGCTGGAGGCGTCGGCGTTCGCCAGCCCGTCATGCATGCGCCGCATGCCAGCCGTGACTTATGTGAAGATCTACATGGGTTACCTAATCGGCGACAAGGACCTGATGCCCGAAGCGGCGGGCGATGACGAGATCGCGTTTTGCGACGAGGGCGAGGTCCAGCGGCGCTATGACTCATTGGAGGCCTGGGCGCACGGCGCCGCCCGCGTGGCGCGCCTGACCGTGGGCGGCGGCCGCGGGCCGCGCGGCGGCGGCCGCGTGGTCGAGGCGGGCCGCGTGCTGGGCGCGCTGGCGCGGGGCGGGGGCGCGG